AATTCTAGATATTCACCTCTTGTGCCCCAAATTAGAGATCAAACCTAGAATCTTAAATCTTAAGGCCTTTGCAGTGATTTCCAACCTTGGCAATTCTGTGACATGTGGACTTCAACTCCCAGAATTCTCCTGCCAGAATGAAATTGCCAAGGTTGGAAATCACTGTCTCAAACTCTCTCAGATCCACTACCAAATTTTATTGCTCTTCCAAGCTTGCAAATTTATTAACTGTCTCCTGATCTTTTTCATGGATTAGCAAAATCTTGATTTGGGAGTCTTCCATTCAAATAATGCTGTTTGTATTTAGGAACATCTATGTTAATTTGAAAGATAATTTTCAAGGATGATGTGGAAGACAATTATTTGGAGAGCCAGTTTGATCTAGTGGTTAAGGCGCCATATAGAAGCCAGGAGACTGGAAGTTCTAGTCCTGCCTTCTCTGTGAAACCCGGATAGATGACTTTGGGCCAAATCACTAGGAGACAGTGAGTTCAAATCCTGCCTTAATCATGAAAGCTGGCTAGGTAACTTTAAGCCAATCACCAGGAAATGGTGAATTCTAGTCCTGCCTTCGGCACGAAACCCAGATGGATGACTTTGGGTCAATCACCAGGAGACTGTAAGTTCTAGTCCACGAAAGTCAGCTGGGTGACTTCGAACCAGTCACTCAACTCTCTCAGCCCAACCCACCCCACAGGGTTGTTGTAGGAGAAAACAGGAGGGGGGAAATTAGGTGTGTTTGCTTCAGTTACTTAAAAAGTAATGAAAGTGGGATTAAAAAAAAAAATACAGGCAGTCCTCGACTTACAATAGTTCATCCCCTCCAAGTCTTACTCCCGAGTCGCCCCTTTTGTCTCAGCTGCTCTTGCCTTCTAGCAGCTCTGTGCACTCATGCACTGGGAACAGGCTCCCCTTGCTCCTCTGCCTCACTGCTGCCAGACTCCGAAGGCTCCGGAGTCAGCACCCCACTCCCAGATGGTCCTGGCCCCATCTCTGCATTGGATGCAGGACTCTCGTCCAAGTCCTCTCCAGACTCCCAGACGGGTCCCCGTTCTTCCCCACTGTCCGATTCCGCTGCCGTCTGCACCTGCTGCTGGTGAACCACAACACCGTTATAACTTGGAACAATCACTAAATGAGACTGATGTAAGTCGAGGACTACCTGCGCTGTGGAAATTGGCCATCCTTGAGAAATTGTGCTGTCGTTACAGGTAGTCCTCGACTTATAACAGTTCGTTTAGTGAGCGTTCAAAGTTACAACGGCACCGAAAAGAGTGACTTAGGACCGTTTTTCACAGTTACAACCTTGGCAGCATCCCCTTGATTGAGTGATCAGAGGCTTGGCCACTGACTCACATTTATGACGGTTGCAGCGTCCTCGGGTCACCTGATCCCCTTTTGCGACCTTCTGTCAAGCAAAGTCCATGGGGAAGCCAGGTTCACTTAACAACCGTGTGACTAACTTGTCAACTGCAGCAATTCGCTTAACAACGGTGACCGTAAATGTTGTAAAATGGGGCAAAACTCACTTAACAAAGGTCTCGCTCAACCACAGCAATGTTGGACTCAATTGTGGTCGTAAGTCGAGGACCACCCGCATGAAGGAGCTCCTGGCAGCTTGTTGAGGGATTTGGGGATCACCTTGCTTGGTGTGGATGCTTTTTCTATTATGCTTTTAACCAGGGGTCCCCAAACTTGGCAACTTTAAGCTCTGCTGGCTGGAGAATTCTGGGAGTTGAAGTCCACAAGTCTTAAAGTTGCCAAGTTTGGAGACCTCTGCTTTTAACTAATAATAAAGCTTAAAAATAAAATCCCTTATTTCCTGGCATGGTTGTTTTTTTCCCCTCTGGATCCAAAAAGAACCGATTGCCTGGACACCTCATCCCTGCCCTGACACTGGATGAAACAAGGGTCCCTCAGCACCTTTTCTGAATGGCAACTTTTATTAACGGCTTCGGTGAGCTGCGTTTCATTTAATGCAAAGCATAGATTGGCTCGACGGGTGAATGCCTCAGACGGAGCTCACAAAAGACGCTGCGGCCTTTTTCATAAAGTTTCTTAGTCCGACAACCTGCCGTGGGACTCCGTGTTCTATTTTGTTGTGATATAATGCCAATATGTTCTCCCTCCCTTTCGGAAAACCTCTGCTTTTTTCTTCTTCTCTCTCTCGTGAAATAATCTTCTATATAGAGCAGGGGTGTCAAACTCAAGGCTGGATCCGGCCTGCGGGGCACTTAGATCTGGCCCATGGGGTTGCCCTGGAAACAGCGAAGGACCAGCCCGCGATGCCTCTGCCAGTGAAAATGGAGCTCGGGAGGGTTGCAGGTGGAGGGTTGCAGGAAACCATTGCAAATGGAGCCTGCGGCCTTCCCAAGCTTATTTTTCACCTGCAGAAGGTTGCAGGAGGCCATCACAGCCGAAAACGGAGCTCAGGAGTCCCTTTCCACTGGCGAGTTCTCGGGCCGCCACAGGCGCCCCCAACACGAGTGACGTTGAGCTGGCCACGCCCACCCCAACCACATCCACCCCGGCCCCCCAAGGTTAAACACAATCCTGATGCGGCCCTCAATGAATTCAAGTTTGACACCTCTGATATAGAGGGTCCTTGGTTGTTTTCTTGCAGACGTTACATTACCAAACTAGTAAGGTGACCAATCGTCCTCCTTTAGGGAGGACAATCCTCCTTTTGTAAGTTCTGTCCTCCCTCGAAAAGTGTCCTCCTACATGTCCTCCTTTTTGATATTTGAAGACTAATCTGTAAATCCCCATTTTTGATCGATGCCGATCCAATCCATTGTGTGTGATGTGACGTATTTATATTTGACATGATGATTCATCAAGGCCCGATACAGTGCGGCGAGACGCAATTACGAGACGCATGAACTCCACACAGGAGAATTGTTTTGAGAGAATGTGCCGTGCGCAAGAGTGCGCCACGCGCAAGTGGCTTTGTTTTTTTCCTTCAATTTATTTGTGTCCTCCTTTTCATTGTAAAAAAAGTTGGTCACCTTAAAACTAGGTAACCTCATCAGTGTTGGGAGGGAGTGGGATTTGTTCTTGTTTTATATTCTGGTGGCTTGTCCTGTCAGTAATCTTTGGGGAATAGCCTTGGAGGTTCTTTGGTTGGGCTGTTTACTGTTAGCCTGTCTGGGATATTGTTTACTTCTTGATTGTTGGCCTAACAATGGTTTAATACCAAAATTAACATTTAACCAATGCTCAAGAAGTAAACGATACCCCAAACAAGCTAACAGTAAACAGGTCAACCAAGGAACCTCCAAAACCATTTCCACCCACACTGACAGGGCAAGCCAACAAAATATAAAATGAGAGCAAACCCCACTCCTACTAGCACTGACGATGTTACCGAGTCAGGTAATGTAATGTCTGCAAGAAAACAACCAAGCTCAAAGAGCGCCAAGGACCCTTTCATTTTAAGCTACAAAAATCGATAATCTCCTATATTATGAAAAACTCCAGTTCTGGTCCTCCGTTATACAATGCAAACTTTAGGTCTGTTCAGTATAAAAATCCTTCTCTTGCATTCCAGCTCCAAGCCGGAAATTGGATTCAGAAGCTGAAACGAACCCTTCTCATTCAATGATTTTCACTGACTTTTCCCTCCATTCTCCTGTGACTTGTTAATTATTTTTGCTTTTCTAGCTTTGCAAAGGCATCCCACCCCTCAACGCTGTTCCATTGTTTGATGTGGTGTTTGGATGGTACATTAATTTGAGAAAGGAAAAGGATTGTCCTAGACAGTACACTGTTAAGCACGTATTGTATGCAAAGAAAAAACCTCTCTCTATATATATAGCTCGATAACCCGTGCTTCGCTATGAAACTATGTGGTCGGGTTTAGTTTTTGGGGAGGAAAATAAGGGGAAAAAATTGTGCCTCTGCCTACCAGCATCCATCAGTATTCATCTGGCTAGCATCCTGTCAGTGTGTGTGAGAGTTGAGGGCTGTTTGGAAACTGAAACAGTATTTGCTATGTGAGCAAGAAGGAGACAGCAAGGAGCCTGGGCGTGGCTTAGCTCAACTGTTCTGTACTAAGGCTGCTTGGTGCTGTGAAACTGAAAGTGAAACTCCTCTGCTCTGCTTGTGTTTTGCATTTGGAAGAGATTTCTTTTCAGGTGGGGAGGGGGAGTAGAACTCAGCATCAGAGCGTGTTAACAATAACAATATAGGAAATACTAATGCTCTGATGGTCATTTCAAAAAATCTTTTCTTAGCGAGCACCTAGAAGCCAAGAGGAATATACATGCCAAATTGCTTTAAGAAGTCTGGACCTCAAGTGATGCTGGCTGGGGAATTCTGGGAGTTGAAGTCCAGACTTCTTAAAGTTGCTAAGGTTGAGAAATATTGCTATATACAAATGATACCAAAATAAATATTGGCCAGGGGTTTGTGTCTGGAAAAGACCATGCTTTGTGATAACAGATTGAAAATCTTGTTCCTCTGATAAAGGGAAAAAAATCGAAGTCCCAAAAGCATGCTAGCATTGGGCTCTGGGTCAACTTTCTGCAAGTCGACACAAGTATCACACATGAGCCACAGTGGCACAGTGGTTAGAGTGCAGTACTGCAGGCTAATTCTGCTGACGGCCGGCTGCCTGCAATTTGGCAGTTCAAATCTCACCAGGCTCAAGATTGATTCAGCCTTCCATCCTTCCAAGGTCGGTAAAATGAGGACCCAAAATTGTTGGGGGCAAGAGGCTGACTCTGTAAACCGCTTAGAGAGGGCTGTAAAAGCACTGCGAAGTGGTATAGAAGTCTAAATGCTATTGCTATATTCCAAGATAGACTGCCTCTAACTCTGGGAGTTCTACTTAGCTCGGTAAAAAAATGGAATCTACACTTTTCTTTTTCTTGAGCTAATCTCCTTGTCAGTTCTTCTAAACTAGGGTTTGATTTCACCAACACCAGAACGTAAGCTGAGTTCTTTTTTTTTGTCACCGTAAGACGTTTGAAACCAAATTTCTGCCTTTGATTACCAACCCGCATCCTTGGATCAAGCAAAGTGAAATCAGCTTGGGTAAAGGTCTTCCCGGCCAAGCAAAATGCCTCACCTGAGTGCAAACTGTTCTCTTTGGCAGAGTTGCTGTTGCTCAGATAATCTTCTTTGCAGACAAATTTGTTCTCGTCGATGATATACAGTTCCTCGCCGGTCGACAGTTGCTTGTTGCACATCATGCAAGTGAAACAGTTCAAATGAAAGACTTTGCTCCTGGCCCTCCGGACCAAATCGCTCGGAGAGATGCCCTGCGCACAGCCGGCACACTTGGTACCAAAACACCTGGATGGAGGGGAAGGGGAGAGAGGGAAAGAGGGAAGGGAGGGAATAAGGAAAAGGGAGGGGAAAGGAATGGAATATAAAGGGGAAGGAAGGAAGGAAGGAAGAGAGAGGGAGAAAGAAAGGAAAAGAATGAAAGTTGGAAGGAAGGAAGGAAAGGAGGGAAGAAGGAAAGAAGGAAGGGGAAAGAGGGAGGAAGATGAAAAGGAAGGAAGGAAAAAGAGAAAAGGAAGGAAGGAAAAGAGGGAAGAAAAGGAAGGGAAAGGGGGGAGGAAGGAAGGGAGGAAAAGGAAGGGAGAAAGAAAGGAAAAGAATGGAGGTTGGAAGGAAAAAGAAGGAAGGGAAAAGAGGGAGGGAGGAAGATGAGAAGGAAGGTAGGAAGGAAAAGCAGGAAGGAAAGGAAGGAAAGGGAAGGAAGGAAGGGTAATGGGGAGGAGGGATAAGAAGAAGGAAGGACGGAAGGAATGAAAAAAACAAATCACTAATGAAATTGACCAGAAATAATTTTGATTCAGATCACCCATTTTTTCTGATTAAAAAAAAAACTGAAGCCGTGAGTCCAACCCAATTAGACCCGTCAATCTACCCACCTGGTGCATCTCAAATCTGTTGTGTCAACTCCGTTCATTTATTGGATTGATATCCTGCTCTTTTATTTAGGAGCTGAGCGAAGAAAGACTAGCACCTCCCTTATTTTCCCCCACAACAGCCCTGCAAGGCTAAAGCCACCCAGGGAACCTTTGTGCCTAAGGGAAAATTAAAATTAAAAAATTAAAATTAAAAGAATTGAAAACCAGGTTGCTTTAAAAGATGATTGGAGGACTTCAGACTTAAGATACATCTTAAGGAGAAATCCACACATCTTAAAATTGCTGAGGCTGATAAAGACTGTTTTACAGATACACAATATTTCACTAGAAAATATTATCTCAAGCCAAATTGCTCTGGCTTTGTCCTCTCTTTTGTTTTTTGAAAATCTATTCCCATAGGTATTGTCAGCTGAAGGCATTAAAAAAAGAACACCATGAACTTGGGAGCATTCAATTGTCGGTTTTTACAAATAATTTTCTTTCCTTTTCTTTCTCATAGCAGCCAGAAGACACATTCATAAAAAATTCATTTAAGGAAGGGTGAAATACAGCTGGGGGCAGCATCGAGCCAGTGTTGGCAAGTCTCAGGAAGAGAAACTGAACTGAGCCTAGTTAATATGGAATGGATACCACCAGGAGATCCCAAGGCCACAGAGTGGATCTATTTTGGATATATTTTGGTTCTGTTTCCAAAAAATAAAGGGTGTGCCTATTGCACCTTTTTTTTTGGTGGGGGGAAACAGGACAACAATGTGACATTTTAAACATACGTAGATAAATAAATTAGGTTGCTAAGTGCACATTCACTCAAAGGGGAGACTATTTCTCTCCACCAGCTACAGAAAAAAGATATATAGGAACAGAAAGAGGATTTCTGCTTATTAGCACCAAACTTAAAAACAAGATGGAGCAAAGACTAGTTACTTGCTGAGAGCATCTTGATAGCAAGAGGAAAAAAAGAAAAGAAGAAAAATTCAATATAGAATAGAAGCCCAGACGTAGTGTTATTTTATTCTTTTCTTTCCGATCCAACAAACACTCAAAGCAAGAAGTGAAATGGTAAAATACAGTAGAAAAAAAAATCTAAAGCATAAAATTAATGCTTCAATCCGTTAACTAGTAAGAACCCGGTGATACGAGATGGCTTTTCTAAATACCAAGAGAAAATACGGCTTAAACCAGGCCATCCTGTTAAACTCTGAAAGGATTTATTTGCATGTGTATAGCATGTTACATGAACCCAACGATGGTATTTTGATCATTCCGATTTAGAGGTTTAGCATCGAGCAGTCATAACGGAATACAAATTACAGTTTCCATTACACCTAATCAAATGCACGGCGCTACCTACTTACCAATAATAAAATCCCCGTGTCCGCGAGATGTATTTATTTATTCATTTGTTCATTGCATTGATGGCCCTTCTTTTTTTTTCCAGAGCGCGGTTCTCTGAATCAATTCCTTTTTTTTTTCTTTCAAAAAGCAATTTTACAAGAGTCTCTCTCTCTCCCTCCCTCCCTCCCTCCCTCCCTCCCCCCCTCTCTGTTTTATCCCGTGAAAACAACCCTGCTAGGTAGGTTGGACTGAGAGTTGAACAGCTGATTCAAAAACAGTTGAGGCTCTTGTAGCTCAAGAGGAATCCAAACCACAAGCGGTTTTAATAGAAACTTAAGAGGTTTCTATTTGGTGTATTCGATCCTAACGGAAAGAAATCAACCATGGAATCAACTTTGGAAGGGGACAGATCCCGAAACTCAAATATTTTGGCCACCAAATGAGAAGAGAGGACTCCCTGGAAAAGACTCTGAGGTTGGGAAAGATGGAAGGCCAACAGAGAAGGAGACAGCAGAGGATGGAGGTGGTTAGAGAATGTTATCCATTCAAGGAACGTGAATTTTGGCAAATTCCAGGAGACAATGGAGGATGGGAGGGGAGAGCTGGGACCTGTGGTCCAGGGGTTGTGAAAAGTTAGACAAGACTTAGCAACGAATCCATTGTCTTGTCTGGTTTGTTCTTGGTGATCGTTTATTCATTTGCATGTATATCGCATGTTAACTTTTTATTCCACTAATATTTTCCCCCATAGAGTTTTAATATATTATTAGCCATCCAGAGCTTTCGATGGCAAGGGTGGGCAAGCCGTATAAATCAATTGAATGATTGGACGACTGAATGATTCAATGGTTCAACCCCATCAGTCTCTGGATGAAACAAGCTGAAAGTCGGATGCCTGGAGCCTCTTTTGGTCACCAAACTTTCTAAATCCTGTGTGAGCTCCTAAAGAAGACAACGACCAGATGTTGGAGAACCCTAGCTACGTCAATCCATTCAGCCACAAAGCCAGGTTACTGTTAATCTGGCCTGCCAATCCATAATCCATACCCTGGAGACTCCAGGCCTTGTTGATCTTGATGGATTTCTGGAAATTAAGCAAAATTGGACCTGGCTAAAGTGTGTTAAAAGTGACCACCAGGAGATTCAAAAGCTGTAAGCTAGAATCAGTAGCACATAGAACAAAGCAAAAACCCCAAAGCGTCACTTCCTAATTATTGCTAAGAAAACAGCATTGATGTGTCTGCAGAGTCACCAGAAATGAAGTCCAGAATTTATTTATTTTTAGGGGAGGATCATAATCCGAATGACATACTAACAGCATTGCATTGCTGTTAGTTAAATTAAGAATGTAGAATTACGTTCTTAAACATTAACACTTTCAACTTTTACTTTAGCGATATCCTTCCAGATCCCATTTGAGAGCCAAATTTAAAATAAATTCAGCAGATGAGCAAAATTCCCAGATAAAACCTCTTTTTTTCCTATCTTATCTACGGGGAACGGAAATAGGGTGCATGACAAGGCTGAAAGAGGAGAAAGAAAGAAAGAAAGAAAGAAAGAAAGAAAGAAAGAAAGAAAGA